AATAATAATAATAATAATAATAATAATAATATGACTTTTGAAGGCAGTTTGTTTGCGCTGGTTTTATTTAGGGTTAAAACTCGTATCAGACTTTTCAGAATCTTAAACGTAAAGAAAATATATATAAAAAAAACATATAAGACTCACAATTATGCACTGGTTTGGTTCACCATATTAAATCCCTTTAAATTACTGTACTTTAAAGTTTTGGGTAGTAACATGACAAAATGTGGAAAGGTTTGAGGGGTATGAATACTAGTCCAAGCCTACTGTTTATCATCATCCTGTCTTCCTACTTCCTACTTTTAGAATAAACACATATTCTAGCGTTACACAAAATGAAACAATGTTTCTTTTATTTTCTCTTTTATCCAAACAGACCTCTTGTTCCCCAGTGAACTGCTCTGAACCCCTGGGGAGAAAAGAGGGCTTTTATTTTTATTTGCTTTCAACTCCGAGCACACGCAAGCACATAACAGTATGGATCATTACAAAAGGATACTCTGTGCAGATGGTGGGTGTTAAGAGGCTGTCTAGGAACGAGAAAAACCAGAAGACACAGGTTCCCCCACCTGTCCATTCAGCAGCGTCATGGGGATGTTGCAGTAGACATGGCGCCCCCCGGGGCCCAGGGTGGAGAACTGCACCGTGGAGGGAGGCGGGAGTGGAGGTGACATGGAAGAAGGCTGTGGGGGAAGCTGGAACTCGTAGCTGCGGCAGAAGTGCCGCATTTGGGCCGCTGTAGCAGTGTGACCTCCTCCCAGTGGCAAGGTCATCTGGTTGTAGTCAGGGATCTCTGTTGCCAAGGCAACCTGTGAGTTAAAAAGAAGGAAAAAGAAATGTAGCTGGGGACTTTTCAGAAGGTTGTCATAATGCTTAGATTTTCACACTTCCTGTTGGGATGATTTATGAAAACAAGCAATTTGGAAAATAGAGAACAAAATAAGGAACATTTACAAAGGGGATAAATGGTCCTTTATTATCTTAAACATTTAAAAACAAGGAAGAGGAAGGATACATCAGACGAGCTGTGTGGTGCGATTCTGTACCACAGAATAGGAAAAAATTTGACTAAAATCATTCAACATAAAAGTGTCACCTATATGTTGCATTGTTATCTGAGACTCATGCTTATCTTTGTCATAAGCTCATTGCATCCTGTTGCTGCTATGTTATTTTTGGCTTGGATTAGTCATTTTTTCTGCATTGCCACTTCCACAGAATGTGTTTGACTAATCATTAAAGATAAGTTTATCATATTTTGACATAGCGTGCCTATAAAAAGTATTCACTCCCTTGGATGTTTGACCTTTTTAATCGCGCTTACAAATCAATCATGATGAACAAAATGTGAACTGTTGACAAAAAATAAATAATTTGAGTGAAAACTGATTTCTACAAAATAATAGTGATAGATAAATTGAAATACACAACACCTTAGAGATTTTTTTTGTATCCATCCCCTGACTTCTAGTAAAGTTCAAAGTGTTGCTTGAGTCCGAACGTTAAATGAGTGCCAACAGTTCGAATTAGTGTTGGTATTTACTGACCTGATGGTGGCCATGGCGATTCTCATTAGGGGGCGCTAGTGAGGCAGAGGTGGTCGTCATGGCGATGGTGGAGACAGTGGTCTGTAGGTCACCAAAGAGGCCCTGTTCACCAGAGTCCATTACCTGTAAACATGAAAGAGTTTTCTTTTTTCTTGATCTTAGTCGTAGAGAAGTTGTAAAGTAAGGTCAGTGAATAGCAAACCTATCCATCCATCCATCCATTTTCTGAACACCCTTGTCCCTCAGTGGGGTCGGGAGAATAGCAAACCTAACTGTTGGTTATTATTGAGTAGGATAGATGGCTAGCATCATGGTTTCAATATGCTTCTCCAATTCTTCCAAATGCCTCAGAGTGTGTTCCCTGTTGCTCATGAATCCAAGCAAAGTGTCTTGGTTTGAGGTATGAATTAGAGGTGGGTGATATGGACTTTAAGTTTCATCATGATATTTTGTGATGCCATTGTGATAACGATAAGTGACAATAAGAACTATTTATTCCATCTTTTAGGTGTTTTGCTGTGACTGTGTCTCACAGCAACTATAGTCTCACAAATACAAATAATGCTCATGAATAACATTCCAATCGGTAGTGAAATATCTTAGGACACCAGGCATGTAAAGAAGTGTGATTTATATCAACTAAGCTGCACACAGTAGCTGTGTTTTCAGATTTATTGATGCTTTTATTGAATAAACAGTGGAGAAAATAGTTAAGTAATCAATCCCAACAGATTGATTAATTAACTATTTAGTGTTTTTAAATTGTATTAAATAAAATTTTTTATGACGACTATCAATCAAATTCTTATAAGAAATGAATCACGATAAACGATATGATAAATGCCCACCATGAATAACTACAGACTTGAATATGTCAGTGTTCCCAACTAAGATCCTAACAGTGCATAATTGTACATTTCTTAAGCTCCCACTGCATGTTTTACAACAAAAATGTCAGAAACATGGTTTAGTTTTTATTTTATGGTACCTGACGTCTGGACAGAGTCTCTCTGCGTTTAGCTGGCATCTCATAGACCACCTGCTTCCAAAACTTGGAGGACAGCTCGTTGCTCTTTGGACCCCTCCACTTGATAACAGATAAGACCTTCCGAGAACAGCAAACGTTAGCGATGATGTCACTTCCGCAGCTCCTGTTCTCCATTGAATGCCATGATCTCCATACCTTGATCGTATGCTTCAGCGCGTCCACCTCTTGGTAGTTCATGACATTCTTCAAGTTTGCGCACTCTATCATGATCACCTAGGCAAACGGAGATGAGGGAAGAAACATGTAGGACCTTCTTAACACTTGAATCAAACAAGAAAAAACGCGTCAGGTTGAACCCCACCTTGATCTCTCCTGTAACCAGCATGGAGTGGAGACGCGTCTCTATCTGGAAAATGCTCCAACCTCTTTTGGCAACAAATTCTGGAGTCAAAACAATGATCAAACGTCTGCTTTGCTCCACGCTGCGTGCCAAGTCCTCAATGTAGGCTGATGGGGAGAGAGAGAGAGAAAGGAGTGTTTATGCAGAGCAACAGTAAAGATCCATAAGGAATAATCTTGGCTATAATGATGATCCATTAATTCACATAGATTAACAAGAAAAGTGTGGAGTGTTTTGGTCAACCGCAACCTTTGTGACTTCGGAGCCCTCCCTCATGTAGCCGCTGGTTCCAACAATATAACATGTATTTTTGTGTTTGTATGATGTAAAACACTTCGAACTGCCTTGATGCTGAAATGTGTTATACAAAAAAACTTGATTGATTGAGTGATGTACAAAGACCTAGTGAACCTAAGTCAAGATCCACTGAGTCCTGTGCATCTGCGAGACATTCTAACACAACCGCTGCTCTTCATGATTGACTTCTTTGCTCTCAACCACTAGGGGGCATACTAGATGATTTGAATCTAACGGACCTCTTGATTATGGATGCAGAATCAGATGCTTCCAAGTGTCAAATCATGGTAGAATAAGGTTTAGCAACTATTTAGCAGACAATTCAATGAATCAAACTTTTGGTCACATTTGATGCACTGCGACATCGATGAATAAACTTCACATTGCATGAGGTTCAATGTAGGACGAACTGGCTTAGAGGATGTGCTTGATGTTAGGCTCTTAGTGTAGGTGTGAAATATGCAGCTGTAAGTGACTTGCCTTAACATGACCCATTTAGCCAATGAAGTTATCATGCTCTATCATTGAGTCATTTGATTATTCTGGAAGATCCAATACACGGACTTCCAGAATATGGCCCTATGACATGTTGGTGACAGTAAACCCTGGTAAAGACCAGCCCCTTGTCCAGAGGGTCTGGGCCCTTGGATATTCAGAAATGATTGCTTCCTGGAGGTGTTGAATTTTATTTAAAGATCAGAGCACCCCTTGTGAATCCTCTCCTAAAGCATTATATTTTCTTGTCACGGCCTGATTTCCAAAGGACATCCACCGTAGGTAGTGAATGACTAAATAACTGACATGGTGACTTGCGTGACAAAACCCCTTGTGATAGATGTTTTGGACTGACACCAAACAGGAAGTGGTTTCTTAGCATTTTGCTGATGGAAAACATATCGGTCAGGGGCTGAAGGCAGCTGCATGTGGTATTATAGAAATACAGTTATTCCTGTTTACACCTCATTTCCAGTTAGTTGTTTGCAGCGTTCTGTGTCAGTTTTTGCAACATGACATGTTAAGATTGCTTATTGTTTGTCTTTGTGCGTCCGTGAACAACAGATCTCCCCCCTCTTTCTGTATCGCTCCCTTCTCCTCCGTCATGTCTTCACCTGCTAACTGAATTAATGACAGAGACTCTCCAACAACACATTGCAATTTCACGCTCAATTTGAGAGGCACAAATAGTACAGAACATCCCCGAATTCAGCCCATTTCTTGCCTGCCTCTGATGCGCCTCTTCCATCGCTCGTTTAATCTCTCTCTCTCTCTCTCTCTCTCTCTCTCCCCATCTCCGTTTGTGAGGATTATGTTAATCAATTAATAAAACAGCACAGACCAGTGACCGTGCCGCCACCTCTTTTCGCTCTCCTTATTTATTTTTGCGCTCTCGTTATTTATTTTTGCGCTCTCGTGTTCGTTCCGAGGCACTAAGTGGGCTGGATAATTGAATGGTGTGTTTAAGGTCTGCTCCGCCACCGACTTTGGAAGAAACACTGGAAAAAAAAGAAAAGAAAAAAAGGCACATCGCTCTTTCTTGGTCGGTGTCACACTCATGCTCTCTGTTCCTCTCGATGTGTGTGTGTATTTATGAACAGCAAACATTTGTTTCAGGGATGTTTTTAGGGCAGCAGTGAAACCTCTCAGACTTTTTTTCATGATTTGTTTTTCTTAGAAACCTAGATTTAGCAAACTGCAAACTATGTGGGGCAACGTTATTTGTCAAGAGCCATATTTCAGTGGCAAGATATGTTTATTTGTAAACCAATAGTAAAACCTGGGCAAAGGGTTTTTACTTTGCTATGAATTAATTTTTCTAGGAAATTTTAGAACATAACCTGATAATTTGACTAAAAGTAATGACACATTGACTATTTTATTTTGTCAAGTTTAAACCACGTATACATGCACTGAATAAAAATATAAAGACCTTTTGTTTCCTGTTTTGGTCACTCAGGATCGCCACTACTCTTCCTAGAATCATTTCAAGGATTACTACACTTAAACGTCTTACTTGAAATTCTAAAGTTTATAAGTAACACATTGCTGCCTCAAGACAGATTTCCTCTTATTTTTTATTTTTGCTGGACTAAGGTTCAAGATAAACACAACTCAAGATTAATTCACACCTGTTGTTTGGGTTTAAATGTGTGGAAATGAACATTGTCTTTAAAGCATTTTTTTTTTACAACTAAAAAGCCTCAGAAGATATTTGTTTTAAAAAGAAAACTTTTTTTGAAAATTGGTTTGGAGGTTTAGACCCATTAGAGCTGAGAGTGACTTCCATCAAAAGAAATAATAATAATAGAAACGATTGGCAGCTATAATGACTCTCCTTTGATACTGGACTTAATGTATAAGTACAGAACTTTTAAAGTGGGTTATTCTTTTATCATTATTTCATAGAATAAAAATAAAATTCCTTTCTCCATTTGGGTCCGAAACACCCTGTCATTCCTCTCTGCTTTATGACCAACTCTAAGTCAGAGTGCTGTGTCTTGTAGTCCCAGTCAGATTATGATTCCTGCAGCATAGCTGAGGTTTATTTTATGGAAACAAACTGAGCTGATCTCCAATAATATAGAGGAATCATGCTGACATCAGACCTTGGATAAAAATGCCTGTTTATATTCATCAGTACAGTGTGAAAATGTTAAAATCTTCTCATCTTTACTCCTCTTCCCTCACTTATCTACTTTCAAAGAACAATGCTGGAAATTTTCCACACACTGATATTATTGAAGCTGTTGAAAAGAATGCATAAATTTATTATATTAAATCACATGAAGCTCATTAAGTTCTTATTTATGCTTTCTGGCATTTTTGTCTGTTTTACGCATGGACTCTAAGGTTTTAAATTTTACCCAGTTGCTAACATTTGGTCGTGTGTAATTTGCCAGTTCGATGCTATTAAGCTTACCAGAAGTTGCGTGCGCTATAAACAACCATCCTCCACTGCGAAGAGAGAAGGACGGAACCAAACAAGAAGGCTGTTAATGTTAAATTTAATATTTGGAGGCGTGGCCAACGCGATATGAATGGCTTCTTTCACTTCCTCTGCTACAACTATAGGCAGATTACCATTCTAAAACAAACAAAAAATCAATGTAATCATTTGCAACTCCTCTTCCGTTTCACTGATTGGCCCGATAGAAATTCCACCAAAGACAATCCACTTCAATGGCAGAAATTCTCAGATGGAGCAGGGAAGGGAAATGAGAATCTAGTGGATTAGCATAGAAAATGGCCAGGCTGCCATCACACCAACACTGGCAATAACAGATCTATGAAGATAATCAGACAATGAAACAATTGCAGTACAATCTCAGTTCAACTGAGATGCCAATAATAAACCCACGATGGCAGCATGTTTTAAAAACAAACTGACTCTTAATGAAGCCAGTCAGACATTTTGGGTTTCATTTCATTTACACTGGACTTTACAGAGCTAACAAGATCAAATTATTCACAATTACATTATATACATATAACAAGTGTTTGTAAATTTTTGCACCCTTTGTGAATGTATATGCGTGATATGCAGTCTTGTTTGGACTCTGAGGCCCGTACTGATAATTTGACGAGGCCTAAGACAGACAAATGTTGTGAACATTAGCTTCTGATTCAAAGTGAGATAAAGCTTCATTTAAGTAGGAAAACTACTGTATATATGTTTCTTAGTGTGTACGTGATGTACGCCTGAGAGCCGACAGAGATAGATTAGTTCAGCAGTAAGTGCGCTGTGATGAAGCTCTGCACACATTTTTATTTATTCTGACAGACTGATGAATTCTGGGGATTGGGGATTACAGTGACCTATAGAGAGAGAGAGTGTGAGTGTGTGTGTGTGTGGGTGTGAGAAAGAGGAGGTTGATAAATGGAATGATACTTACTACTGCTGGGTATTAAATCTCTGTCTGGTATAAATAGTTTGTATCCGTAATGCTTTTCAAGAACGTCCGGCAGAATCTCCAGAGCAAAGGTTTCCTCGTCGCTGCTCGTCCTGTCAGTAGAGAAAAATGGAGAAAACATTATTCCAGACTGAAATACAAAACATTGGGGCCACTGCTCATGGCTCCACTTATTTAAAAGGCTACTTTACGTTTGGGTGTGGGGTTCTGCAGGGAAAATGTGACAGACAGTGTCTAATAGAGGTGCAGAAAAAAAAAAGTCAATAGAGAGTCGGAAATTCTAGTCTTGGGAATCAGTTCAAAATGCTCAAAATTTCTATTTTTTGGGGGAAAATTGTATTTGATTTTGTTTTTAATCTAAGAAGCCAAGCAGTTAAACTAAGCTAACCTAAGAGAATTTTATGGACAAAACTATTTTTGTTTAAAAATAAAATGATGGAATTTGACACAGTATAGAATCTTATATACTTGTTGTAAATCATTTTTCTATACAGTGTATTTTTCTCTTGTCAGTCACGTCATTTAGGCAAACAGAATCTCTGGACCGTTTGAATAGTAAAATTGGTTTCTGAATTAAAAATCTTTTCTGAACGGAATCTTGACCCTAAAAATTGTAATTGAACCTTCAGTCTGCCTGAGTTTAATTTAAATGTTTAACTTATTAAAATATTATATTTATTTCCATCAGATGGCTATGGTAGTTTGGGTAAATTGGTCTTGGTAATAGAAACATGAATCTCTTATGTAATATAAGGTGAAACTCTTGGACTTGCAAAATATTAGTTTATGTTATATGTGAAGAATTCAAGATGAAGTTTACAAAGAGTACTGAGAGTAAGTCTGGTGGTGGCAGCATCATGCTGTGGGGCTGTTTTACTGCCAGAGGTGCTGAGGCCCATTCTGTTCAGATTGTTTTAGAGAAGCTAAATGGATGAAACCTGGATACGACTGGTTATTTCAGCAGAAGAACTGAGACCAAAACATCATCTTTAATGTTTAAGGCAGGCTGGACTGGCCTTCACAAATCCCTCACGTCAAGTCTGTTGAAAATCTGCAGCGCATGCTGAAAGGTTGGAGTCTGAAAATCGACTCAAATAAGCTTAACAAAATTCAGAGGTGGTCAAATATTCAAGCGCTGAGGATGTGTGTGGATGTTTGAGGCCATGGCTATAATTTTGACCCGTTATGGATGAGTGAAAATCCATAAAAAGTTCAAACTTGTGCATCAAATTCTTTTAAATAATCATCCCAGTTGCTTGGTGTGTGATCATTTTACCCCTCAAAAAGAGTTCAAATAAAATATCAAACACCCAAAATGAAATGGTAAACTTCTGACTGTAAGCTCCAGAGCTGATGCGCTTTAAAAAACTTTATTTTATTTTATTTTTTTGCAAATCTTTGCGAAAGTTTTAACTCTTATTCTTCGCCATCACAAAGCACATTAGTTCTCCTTACTTAAAAAAATATGTGCAAACTCATTGCCTCACTTTTTTTTTTTTTTTTTTACAGTTGCCACTTGTACAATTTTGGTACAAGTTAACTTAATAAATCTGAATAATATGTAATTACTGAAACAGTCCAGAGCTTATTTTTTGTACATGTAATAAACCCCAAATCTTTCTGAAGAAACATTTTCATAACTTGAAACTACTTTTATAAAAAGAAAGCTTCTTGATTGGAACAGTTCCTGGCTTCTGCTTTTTGTTTCATTTCTTACTCAAACTTGAACAGAAGATGTGGAGAGCAGTGGTAGTTTTCTAACTGTTTCTCAGCAAAGCTAACAGAGTGAGGTTTGTCAAAAAATGAACATACCACTCACTCATGCTGCAGTTTCATGTATGCAAATGCCCTTGGGGAAAAAAAGCAGCTAATAAGAGCTTTACTACTCTGAAAATAGACTCATTCTTCACATTATTTCAAATTAACTAGGTTCATTTGTACCTCAAAATGCTTATAAGTAGGTGAATAAAAGGAAAGCTAAATCCACTTAATTTATTTGTGTAACATTAGACATTGTAAAGGTATTACACTGTTTAATTCAAATGTATTCGTCTGACCTGCCCAAAGAGTCCAGGTCCACCTTTGTGTAGGACAGGTAGGCGTCGTACTCCTTGTTGTCTGGGGAGAGAAAAGATGATGAAGACAAACTGCATGGACTCAAACCCAGCGTTTCTCTAGCTGTGCTTCTGTTACAAATGTACGCAAAATTTTGTCATAAGCGGCGTTTACACTGACCGCAAAACTGTGCAAATTGAAATGATGAAAATGAATTTGCCTAATGGAAACATGACAATTTAGAAACAGCAAAAAATAAAAGTCTTTGGATAAAAAGTTGTTCTATTACAATGAGGTGGTTTTTTGGCCATATAGCAATTGATTTATTTTGCAAAACTGCAATGAAAACAGTCTTTTGACATCACATGAGTCACATGATCAACAACTGAATGTTACTACTAGCCCAAACCACGAAGAAGAAGACAAAAGGAAGTACTAGGAGGTTGATGTACGCATGATTTTTAATTAATTATCACATGAACAAACTTATTAATGTGGGATTTTAATTACGCCTCTTATTTAACAGAAACAGCAATCGGAAAATTGTGTTTTTCCACATTAGCAGAATGTCAACAAAGATTTGTGCACCTTTGTAATGGAAATGGCGCCAAATTTCCACTAATATAAAAAAATAAACACAATCTCACAATTGTAGTGTTTCCATTAACTAAGAATCACAATTAAAATCACACATGTATACATTTGCTCACTCAATAAGTCATCAAAATTCAATGTCCAACCACTTCCTGTTGTCTTCTTCATGGTTTTTGGCAGTAGTAACATCCGGTTGTTGATCATTTAACTCTTGTGATGCAAACAAAATGTTTCCTTTGTAGTTTTTGAAATAAACCAATTTTGATATGACAGACAAACTATCTTATCCTAATGACAAAACTGTCAGTTATACAGCTTCTGGCTACTACTTTAGCATTTCTCTCAGAGAGGTTAAGTGTTTCCCATCAAACACCATGAAGAATCCCCCAGAGGAATGCCGAGCAGCTCACCATCTTCAGTCTCGTCGCTCCCAAAGTGTCTCCTGTAGCAGAGCATGATCTCCAGGTTGTAGCACTTATAAAGCGCGGTTAGGATCCCCAACAACAGCAGGATGACCCCAAGGCCGCCCGCCAGCTCCAGGCGATACATATCTGCCAGAGATATGGCGGGGAGAGAACGCACAGCCCATGAGATCCTTATCGGCTAACAGTCTGAGGAATTCAATCTGAAGTGGGAGGTAAATACAGGTAAAAGCTTTTATTTTCGTGTTCTCTGACTTTACTGTGCTTTGTCCTTCTTAACAAACTACTCTGCTAACACCTGAGGGTATCTACAGCAACCTGACTTTCAGAAACAGATAAGCAGGAGCTTCAAATCCCTTCAGAGTGGCCCTTTTTCTAAGCAGAATCTCCTTCAGTAGCAAAAACAAAAAAAACAAAACAGAATCTGATAATAATGGCTTTTCGATTGGGGTGATTATTTTTTTGATGAGTCACAGCAGCCTCTAGAAGCATCATTCAGAGACCGCCAATCATTCCTATCGGTGCAGCACAGATAAAAGGAACTGTGTGAATAAAGCAGAAAACTCCATAGAGAAAGCAGACAGGTTGTTAAGCGAGGGTCAAATCAGCTAGCAGCTAACGACTGCTGTCTATTATGGATATTTGTGTCTTTCATAAGAGTGATTCAGTTTGAATGTTCATGATGAAAGACGAAATGAACAACCCACTTAATGCTTTAAATGGAGGTCAGAGAAGGCAGTCCTTGATGGCCAAATGGGAGGAAATGAGTTTGAATCAGGAAACGCTTTTAAAAATCCCTGATAAAGATAAAGGTAGGTATACAGCCCTACTTAGCCCAAAGAGATTACTATCACTTCCTGAATGGAAGTGGTGGTGCTAGTGATATACACACTGTCACTGCTTAATTTTATCTACATAATGTTTTGCTTTGTCCGTTTTTATTTGAAGTAATTTCCTGTTTGGCACGAGTACTGAATTGTAAAGCCCTTAGATCAGTGATGTCCAAAAATTTGGTGGGGGAGCGAAAAGTATTTAGATTTTTCAGGCTCACCTGATCAACGGCAAACTAAACGCACATTATTTTAATAAAACAGCATGATTTCTGTAGAGAAATAATCTCTACAATAATCTCTGTAGAGCTTTCGATTTCAATAGGTTTTTTCAGCATGTTATGTTATTGCCTCATTAAGACAGACCTGGAGTGTGATCTGTTTGAGAAATCCTTTAATCTCCATGGCAACCACTCATTTGTGCTAAATGCCTGGGTGGACCTAGCTCCGCCTTTCAGAATGAAGCTCCTTCAGATCAACCGCCTAATCCCCCCACCTCCCGCCACTCAGCTCCTTCAGACTAGCCAACAGCAATTAGCAAACAACTGGTGGAACTGAGCATCTACTGAGCTCATTATAGGAACCACTTCTCAGTGAAACGCTGATAGAAACTTTGTTAAAGAGTTCATAGAGGAGCCATGTTGTGATGACTTCCTGAAGGCGGAGTTTCAGAAAGAGCAGGAGCTTCTTAAAGAGACAGAGGCCCAATTTCAAAGCAATAAATTACGGTCAAATTTCTTTGACTTTGTATGCTGGTTATATATAGCATTTTATAACAACTGAAGGTAACATATTTAATTGATTGTTCTATACTATGATACTATGTGCCTAGAAAATACATAATACTACCCTTTTAAGAGTCTAAGACATTTACCAGTTAACCCCCCCAGAAAAAAACAGTTGATGATTTTTCTCTTGATTTTTTTTAATGTCTTTTCAGCAAGAAGAACAGATCATGACTGTCTCACTTTATTTTGCCAAGTTAATAAAAAGTCCTAATTGTTTTTCTCGTTTGCATAACCAGATTCAGAATGATCCAGCTAGCACAGTGTGACATGATCAAGTCCCATATGTTTTCTGACGTTGCACAGTTTATGTTGAGCTTTAGATTCAGTGTTACCACTCAGTCTGTTGGAGCTTCTGTAACAAACACTCGAAGTTGACTTGATGTTTTGGGTCACATTGTTTCTCTATAGGAACATTCACTCCATGTCCTGTTGTGTGTTTTATCTGCAGTGCATACATCCTGAAACATTTTCCCTGTTTGCTTCGGTTGTGTTGTGTGTTGACACTGACATGTTTGCTGTGTGAAACCATTCAAACTATTTTGTGTTTTACAAAACCAAAGATTATAAGAGAAAAACAAACAAACAAAAAAACACAAACAACTCCTGCTGTATTACAAAACGCCATGCTGTATGGAATCACGTCGACATGTCAGACACAATCTCAGATGGAGTGTGTGTGTGTGTGTGTGTGTGTGTGTGAATGAATGATAGTGCCTTCATAGGCAATATGAGTGTACGGGAGATTAATGGAACATGGCTGGTGAATGACACCCTGGGAAATATGATCCATTTGTGCCTCCCTCTCCACCACCACATCATCCGACACAAACACACACACACACACACAAACACACGCACGCACGCAAGTAAACACACGCCAGCTCATCTCTTTCCCAACTTCTCCTGGAAGCACTTCATTCCACGACCACACTTTATTGATTTTTTCTAGTCATGGCGAGGAATTCTGCTCCAAATCCACATTTCAGAGTGCAGCTGGGACTTTTCCTTAACGCAGTATGAGACACTGATATGTTTCCAATGACATAAGGCACATGCTCAAAACTAATGTGTCAGCATGGACGGACAATGCTGAATAATAATAAAACACGACTACTTCTAAAGTTTCATCAGACACTCACGTTGCAGTTGAATTAGCTCGTATCTTATTAGCTTATTTAACTGAGACAAACTATATTAGTTTTGTTGCTGTGTTTGAAATTGTCTCCCTTGTAAATGAGATCTTGGATCTCAATGAGGCAACCTGTTTAAATGGTCAAATAAAATAAATACAAGTACATTTTATTGCAAAAAAAAAAACATCATAAAAGCAAAGAGCTGCATAACGGGAAACATAGTACTACTGTACTGAAAGATACAGCCAATTTTGATACGGCCAAACTTGAACTAGAACTCAAAGTTTAGTCCTCACAGGTTAAAACTAAAATCCAGACTGAATTTAAAGTCCCAACATTCATCAGTTCTTCTTAACTGAACAATTGTTTTAGAAGTAAAAACAGTGATGACATGATTATGATGCATTTCTGACATTTCAAGTGAAAAATTTAATTTGGCCAAATTCAGAATAACTTTGCTTTCATTTACTTACTTGTCTGACTTATTTAGGAGAACTGTTCTTTGAAAAAGCATTCACACTATAAAAACAAAATCTTACCAAGTATTTTAGTCTATGTTCTAGTGTTAGTAAACTTGAAATAAGACAAAACTAACTGTTGAGCAAGATGTTAGAGCTTGTTTTAAGAAAATAATTCCTTAATATTGACGAAAAAGCTCTTGTTCCACTGGCTGAATATTTCACTTGTTCTAAGTGAAATGATCTGCCAGTGGAACTAGACCTTTTCTATCAATATTAAGGAATTACACCAAAAATACTTGGTAAGATTTTATCTTTGCATATTTCTTCAAATTTTTGCTCTTTTTTTCTTACCTAAATGTTTCAGATCAACAAGCAAATGTTGATATCATCCATTATCTTCCACTTAATCCAGAGTCAGGTTGGGTTTGAACAACACCCCGACGTTTTTAGGGGCTAATGCACAGAAATGTAATCAACTTTCAGACATGCATCGGCTCAAAAACAGGTTCAGTCTTCAAACAGCCGTTTCCTGCTATTTCAGGACCTGGAACGTTTATGAACATCACTAACAAGCCAATTAAACACAGGGATAATTATGTCAAAAAATATAACACCCCAGTAGCCATTGTGCCATTTTATTTTTTGCAATTCTTATGTGGAAAATATGGAAATGGCAATCATTTTTCAGTTTAATGTCATACCTTGAGACTTTTACACGACTCTGCTTAGAGTTTTATGACCCACACAGGAGTTCTTCAAGAGTCACAGACAGTAGTGTGTGTGTGTGTGTGCGTGTGTGCGTGCGTGCGTACGTGCGCGCGCGCCTGTGTGTGCTGTAGTCTAGTCACTGGGAAAGCAGCAGGCACACTCTGAACAGGTTTCCAGGTTTCATTGAGCCAAATGAAACAATCAGACACACACACACACACACACACACACGCACGCCTGTGGACAGTTTTTGAATCTCCAATATGCTCCATGCATGTCTGTAGTAATATGAAATCATAGCACAAAAAGAAAACCAAATGATTGAAAAAGAAGAATAAATAAAGCTTCGTTCACAAAGTTGAGACAGCAAACGTTTTGGCAAAGAACATGTGTTTTTAGGTGAAGAGGTTCTCTTTACAGATTAGCAGTTTGTGTTTGTCAGACATCAGTATGATCTCATGGCACCAAATCACTAAAGTACTTTTATTTATTTATTTTTGTTTCATGAACCCAGAGCCACTGCTTGGGTGTTTTATTCCTGCTCACCACTTCATATGAAGCCAAATTTTCTCTTTGACAAAATGATAAATACATTTAAACTGAAGGCTAAACATGCTGCTTGTGCCAAACAGTGTAGGCGCAATTTGGAGGAGTGTGCGATTCTTTACAGCTGAGAGCCATATCACTGTTGTAAAATACAAAGTTAAGTTTCTGTATTTAAACAAATGAGTGAATTAAAGCAGAAGAGAAAGCCAGCCTGAGGACATGGCTAATATATTAGCTTTATTTAGGTAACACATTTTAAGATGATTCATTTTTTAAGGTCTGTTAAGGAATTTGCAATCTTTCTCTTTTTGTGCCTCAGTTCAAACAGATTCAGTATCCTTTTTTTCATTCAAATTTGAATTTATGTATTTAATTTTAAGTGACATAACTCTCTATCAATCAGCTTCATTTTCTTTTTAAAAATTTGTTTCCTAACAGAAACTTTTTATTCCATGTCTTTTCTTTTTGTTTACAACAACAAACAAAACAAACAAACAAAAAAAATATATACATGTCCACATTCACCACTATCAGGCAACTGAGGCAAATGCAACAGTGACAACTGATAGCAAAACATTTTAAATACAAAAAAAGTAAAATAAGTTGGTTAAAATGGGTGGCAGGGAGGAATTTCAATGGTCATTTGAAAAATGAATCAAGTTA